TGAACTGGATTCAAAACTGGATCAGTAACTAGAAGTAAAGAGTTATAGTCAATGGATTTTTTTTTTTGCAAGTGTTAAGCTGTTTATAGTTGTGCTCTACAGGGCTCAGTTCTGGGTCCTATGCTGTTTGGAATTAAATGTGGGAGGCATGATTTGGAAATTTGCAGATAACACAAAAATTAGTCACATAGTTGATAGTGAAGAGGATAGCTGTCGACTCCAGAATGACATCAATGGTTTAACTGAGTGGACGGAAAAACAGCTAATGAAATTTAAAGGGCACAAATTTAAGGTGATTGGCACAAAGATTAGAAGGATCATGAGGAAAGACCTTTTTCATCCTGAGGTGTTTGGTGTCTGGGAATTCATTGCCTGATTCGGTGGTGGAAGCAGAAACCCTCAACTTGTTGAAAAGACCCTGGATAAAGTGTTGTAGCCTTGCAATGGATCCGATTCTGGAGGGTTGGATGAGAATGAGCAGCTAGTTTATTTTTCAGCCAGCACAGACATAATGGGCTGAATAGCCTCTTTTATTTCATAAAATTGGTGGTATTGTAGACAGTGAAGAAAGTTAATTTAAGATTACAAAGCGATCTTAATCAATTGGGTCAATGGGCTGAGGAGTGGCAAATAGAGTTTAATTTGGATAAATGCGAGGTATTGCATTTTCGTAAAACAAACAAGGACAGGATTTATAAAATTAATGGTAGGGCCATGGGCAATGTTGTAGAATAGAGAGCACCAGGGGCTCAGATAGATAATTCTTTGAAATTTGCATCACAGGTGGTTAAGAAGGCATTTAACACACTTGCTGTCTTCGCTCAGATCTTTGAGTATAGGAGTTGCAACGTCATGTTGAGGTTATACAGGACGTTGGTGAGACCTCCTCTGGAGTACTGTGTGTAGCTCTGGTCGCCCTGTTATAGGAAGGATATTATTAAATTGGAGAGGGTTCAGAAAAGATTTACCAGGATGTTATTGGGACTGGAGGGTTTGAGATATAAAAATACGCTGGCTAGGCCAGGACTATTTTCACTGGAGAGTAGGAGGTCGAGAGGTGACCTGATAAGAGATATATAAAATCACGAGGAGCACAGATAAGGTGAACAGACCCTTTTCCCTAGGGTAGGGGAGTTCAAATTGAGAGGAGATATTTTTAAGTCGACAGGAGAAAATTTTTAAAAAGGAGAGAGGGGCAACTTTTTTGTTTTAAAACAGAGTGGTTCGTGTGTGGAATGAACCGTCAGTGGAAGTGGTGGGTGCAGGTACCGTTACAACATTTAAAAGACATTTGGATAAGTACATGAATAGAAAAGGTTTGGAGGGATATGGGCCAAACGCAGACAAGTGGGACTAGGTTAGTTTGGGAACATGGTTGGCATGGACTAATTGGACCGAAGGGTCTGTTTCCATGCCGTAGGACTCTATAACTCTATAGTTCTACAGTGCCTGCACTCATGCCCCATTTGGTCTTGGGTATCTTCTTCAGGGAAGATTCCTTCTTCCATTCCCACACCAGTTTCCACAAACACGGAATTCTTTTGCTACAGCAGTTACTTGACAGGTTAGCAAATGTTACGACTTCTAATTTGTAACCTTTGTATTTTCTTTTTGCCAGAGGACATATTCCATTCACTACTCAAAACACATGGCCAATTCGGTGTGGTTATGTCTTCAAGTCCCCTCATCTTGGAAACATAGCTTATATCGCCTGATGATCCTATGTGTTGACTTGTAAAGTAACTAAAACTTGCATTTCAGAGGTGAAAAATGGAGACTGATTGCAGCACCTCAAAGCAAAAAATGGTGAGGGTCAACTTACACACTGGGTATAACAGTGAACATAAATTTTGACACAAAATCCAATCTGGGATCCATAGTCCCCAGGTTGTTGGATTGAGATCACGCCAGAGATGTGAATTCTGCATATCCCAGGCAACTCAGCAAAGTCACTCAGGTGAATGTTGGGAGATGGGATGGTCTTAATTTTTAGTCTCTCAGGGAATCAAAGAATATGGTAATTACTTAGGAAAGGCTGAGAAGGCCAAGGTCAGCTGTGTTCATATTGGATAGTGGAACAGGCTCAAAGGGACATACAGTCCACTCCTGCTCATAGTATTGTGGAACTGAAGGAGTCAGTGCTCAGAATGAAGGCAGTGATCAGAAATGGGAGCAACTAGTGGCCAACAGCAACCTGTTTTTAATGCAGTCCTTCACTGCTTGGTTTTGTATTAAGTATTTATACTTAATCTGTTCAAGGTTGGCAGCGGTCTTTGTAATCAACTGCTTAAACGGTGTGTCATCTTCGATGCTATTTTCATGGCAAAGCAATTGGATAAATGAAGGCAAAGCATAAATACTCATTAGGCGTCTTATTAGTAGATGCAAAAATCAATAATTGAAATTGCTGGAAAAACTCAGCATTTCTGGCTGCATCCAAGGACAGAAAGCACAGTTATTACTTCTGAACTGCAGTTCTGAAGAGGGGTCACTGGACCCGAAACATTAACTCTGCTTTCGCTCCACAGATGCTGTCAGACCTGCTGAGCTTTGTGCAGCAATTTAATGTTTTTGGCAAAGATCTGTAGCTCGGGTTGTGGGTGAGGTTGTTGACTTGTTCACCGAGCTGGCTGGTTTTCATTCAGACGTTTTGTCACCATGCTAGGAGACATCATCAGTGCAGCCTCCGATGAAGTGATGTTATTCTACTCCACTTAGATTTTATACTGTCTAGTCCATTATGGTGAGTGATGTCATTTTCAATTTTGATCTGTATGGGTTTATATATGGGGTCCAATTCTTTATGTTAGTTGATTGTATTACAGGTGCAGAACCATATCTCTTGGGATTCCTGTGTGTGTCTATGTTTGGTTTGGGCTGCTATGGTTACCTTGTCCCAGTTAAACTGATGGCCTTCATTGTCTGAGTGTACTGATATTAAGGAGAGTTTGTCGTGCCGTTTTGCTGCTAGTTGGTGTTCATGTATTCTGATGGCCAGTTTCCTTCCTGGCTGTCCAATGTAATGTTTGTGGCAGTCATTGCATGGTATTTTGTAAACCACATTGGTTCTGTATGTTGTAGGTAATGGTGTCTTTAATCCTTCTAAGTGTTTGTCATAGAGTGGATGTGGGCCACCATGATTCCTAGTGGTCTTAGGAGTCTTGTTGTCAGTTCCGATATGTTCTTGTTGTACAGCAGTGTGGTCAGTGTGTGAGGGGGGACTGTGTCCTCCTGTTGTTGTCGGTTTAGTAGGCAACTGCAGATGAAGTTGCGGGGATATCCGCTAATAGGAACGATTTTGTATAGGTGCTCTTGCTCTTGCCTGCAAAGTTCTGCAGGGTTGCAGTGTGTCCTGGCCCGTTTAAATAGTGTCTTAATGCAGCTTTGTTTGTGGACTGAAAAGAGCAACCCACATTGATCAAATCCTTAACTTCCACAGCAACCACCTCAACGTTGCAAACATAGCTGCATTAGGACACTATTTAAACGGGCCTGGACACACTGCAACCCTCCAGAACTTTGCAGGAAAGAGCAAGAGCACCTATACAAAATCCACCTGATTAGCAGATATCCCCGCAACTTCATCCGCAGATGCCTACTAAACAGACAACAACAGGAGGACACAATACGCCCTAACACACTGGCCACACTGCCCTGAACATATCGGAACTGACAACAAGACGCCTAAGACCACTTGGAATCATGGTGGCCCACAAGTCCACAGCCACTCTATGACAAACACTTGCAAGGATTAAAGACCCCATTACCTACAACGTGCAGAACCAATGTGGTTTATAAAATACCAAGCAACAACTGCCACAAACATTACATTGGACAGACGGGAAGGAAACCGGCCGTCAGAATACATGAATGTCAACTAACAGCAAAACGGCATGACAAACTCTCCTTATAATCAGTACACTCAGACAACAAAGGCCATCAGTTTAACTAGGACAAATTAACCATTGTAGCCCAAGCGAAAAAGACACACACGGGAATTCCTAGAGTCATAGTTTTCCACCCGTAATGCAAACAACAAACATATAAAATTGGACCCCATATACAAGCCCATACAGTTCAAAACGGGAAATGACACCACTCATCATAACGGACCAGACAGTATATAGTCTAAGCGGAACAGAATAACATCACTTCATCGGAGGCTGCACTGGTGATATCACCTAGCATGGTGACAAAATGTCTGAACAAAAACAAGTCAGCTCGACAAGCAAGTCAACAACCTTTGTCTAACAACTGCTGTTTTTGTTTCTGATCTCTAGCATTCCGCAACGCTTTACGTTTTTTTGCAAAGACACTAATGCATGTTTGAAGCACAGATCTTGGAGACCTTTATTGATGCTGCCTCAAAACATTTGTACACTGCCGGATATGTTGGACAACTGCAAAACAGGCATCAGCTATTTCAGTAAATCTCAGAAATGTTCAGTTTTCAGATAATTACGTTTTTTGGACAGCCTGATTTTTGACAATGCAACTGTGTTGGCTATGCAGCTGCAGTTTCTTGTCCGTCTTCAATCCCCTTAGCATATACCATCTACATGTCCCTATGAAAGTGAATTCATGATTTAGTTCACACAGCAGTGCAGAGGAGCAGAGGTACCCCTCCATTCTTCAAAACACATACATTCCTCTACCCCAAGTCAGGAAATGAGCTACCTCTTCACTCTCTCTCTCTCTGAGATTTGATTGATTTGCTGTAATTGGATGTGATACGGCCTTTCTGCAATCCCTCACTGACCTCTGTAGGCAGAGCAATAACAATGCAGAACTATCCAAAATGCATCAGAAACAAGACCAACGAATCAACATATCTTTTTTACGGCCGATTTAATTAGATTCCGCACTGATCAAAGTGTCAAAGTCCATCATCCGTTCATGGTCTGGTTACCAGCTGCCAATTGCTGATCAGAAAACATGGCAGTAAAATAGAAAACTGGCAAAAAAAAATTAGTTAGCGCTAGATAGAAACTTTTACTCACTGTTTGTCTGTCCGAAACTTCATACTGGCTACTTGGTTCTGTAAACTGTTTTCTCAGCAGCCGGTTGCTGAGTTCTGGGTGATCCAGTAAAACATAGGATGAGAAACAGGCTCCATTATCCAGAAGAAACCCCGCAATCTCCTCATTGCCTGCAACAGAGAGAAGCTCTCTCCAATAAAATAGCTACCATTAAACATACAAGCTAACAGGTCAAATGAAAAAGTCTGGAAATAAACAAAGAAAGAGATAGAACAGCAACTGGAAATATTTAAAATCAAGAGTGTTTAGGAGAAATATGTTCTGCACAAATACAAGAACACACTAGCCAATAATGAAACTCCCTGGAAATAAATAATTGAGCAAAAGGACGAACAAAAGAAAGAACACAGACACGATAAGATGGGCAAAGGAGGTGAATAAAGGGATTATATCGATGTTACAAAGAAAGTAAAAAAAAACAGTTAGGCAGGCAAAGAAAGAGAAACTATGAAGTTAAATTCTCAAAAGAATATAAAAAGAAACAGTGAAGTATTCACAGACAGATAAATAACAAAAGAAAATCAGAGTAGCTATTAGTCCACTAAGAGATATGTGAGATAATCTCAAAGAGAATGACAATGTAAAGGTTATTAAATAGTTATTTTGCCTCAATACTTGCCAGGAGACTAACGAGTAGGCATTGCATTAGAAGAAAAGATAACAAGAGATATTAAGGAATTTGAGATAGAAAGGGGGAAGATAATTGAAAAAGTAATTAAATTTAAAAAGGATAAAACTCCTGAACATTGTGAAACAAATAACTGAAGAAACAGCAAGAGAATCTTTTATATTGTTAGAAAAGGAAATAGCGCCAGAGGACAGCCAATGTGATTCTTAAGATGGGAAACAGAACAAGCCCAGGGAGCTGTAGATCATTTAGGTTGATGTTGGAAGTAGGAAAGACATTGTAATCCTTATTCAAAGATGCAATAGGGAATCTAAAACTATAAGACATAGTCAGCACAAGTTCCAAAAGATGGTGGCTCAGTGGTTAGCACTGCTGCCTCACAGCGCCAGTGACCTGGGTTCGATTCCACCCCCGGGTGATTGTCTGTGTGGAGTTTGCACATTCTGCCCGTGTCTGCGTGGGTTTCCTCCGGGTGCTCCGGGTTCGTCCCACAGTCCAAAGATGTGCAGGCTAGGTGGATTGGTCATACTAAATTGCCCGTAGTGTTCAGGGATGTGTAGATTAGGTGGATTATAGGGGGATGGGTCTAGGTGGGATGCTCTGCGGGTTCGTGTGGACTTGTTGGGCGGAAGGGCCTGTTTCCACACTGTAGGGATTCTATGATCTAAAGAAAAGGTCATGTTTGACCAACATTCCTGAATTATTTGAAGAAATATCAGAGAGTAGACAACATTAATGCAATACTTGTATTATAAATAGTTGCTTGGTAGTACAGAACTAGAGTATTACTATAAAAGGCCTGTTTTGTTGAACGTTTTTCATCTTGTACTCATTGGGACAATTTACAAGAACAGCAAAGTAAAGGAAAACATACATACCATTCTGAAAAACAGTGCTGAATGATTGGAAAGTGAACTCCGGCTGAGGTGTTTTGTTCTGGAGAATGCACCAGTTAATAAGTGCTGACAATTGACTTCCAAGCTGTGTATAAATTTTAAATCAGGCAGGTTGACTCTAATTGGTCAAGGTGTTGCCATGAGGAATTAACCAGAGAATATCTCTATTATGTGGACAGAAAGAGCATATACCCATACTATGTGCTTAAACTCAACACAATATTTCAAAATTTGTATTTAGGTTCGGGTGATGGGAGTAAAGGAAGACAGTAACAAAATAGACAAATACATTAATAAATCTGCAAAATTAACAAATTAAGTTCAATATATTGAAGTGCAATGTGGTGTATTTTGGCAGGACGAATAAGAAGGTCACATACTAATTTGAAAATGAGAGAGTAAGTGAGATACAGGACCAAAGGGATCCATGAGCACAGGTGTACAACAGTAACTATACTAGTTAACAAGGTCACAACAAACAAGCAAAACCCCGACCTTCACTTCTACAGAAATAGAATGAAAGAAGTTAGAGAAGTTATTTAAGGTTTCAGCAAAGATCTGTAACTCGGGTTATGGATAAGGTTCTGGACTTGCTCGCCGAGCTGGCTTGTTTTTGTTTGGATATTTCGTCACCATGCTAGCTGATGTCATCAGTGGAGCCTCCGATGAAGCGATGTTATTTTACTCCACTTGGAATTTATACTGTCCGGTCTGTTATGGTGAGTGGTGTCATTTCTGGTTTTGATCTGTGTGGGTCTGTGTATGGGGTCCAATTCTATATGTTTGTTGATTGAAGTATGGGTGGAGAACCGGCACGACGAACTCTCCTTAATGTCGGTATATTCAGACAACGAAGGCCATTTATTTAACTGGGACAAAGTAACCATAATAGCCCAAGCCAAACATAGACATGCACGGGAATTCCTAAAGGCATGGTTCTCCACCCATACTTCAAACCAGCTGTATGTTTTGTGGAGTGAGGAGGTGATTCTCCTGAAGCCCTAGTACACAAGGAGAACATGTGATTGTTCACGTACCTGCCTTCATTGCTGCATACAACGGCTGACCTGTGATGATCGGATGATCCTGTGTCTTCACTCCACAACTGTCGGTCTCTGCCTTGTACACAAGTACCAAAAGCCTCACTACATCCAGATGTCCTTTTTCACAGGCTACAGCAAGCATCCAGTTCAGCAGATCCTTGTCAACATACAAATCTATCAAAAATATATTTTGTACAGTTATGGAATGATCAACTTTACACAGACTCTAGAATGTTCACTTTCCATTTTAATTCTAGAATCAGTGAAAATGCAGGGCACAATGAGGCCATTCAGCCTAGACTTTCCCAGTGGTAGTTCTTCAATTGAAGCTGTCTACTTAAATTCAATTCTTGTCTTTTCTACAAGCTGTTTTACAAACACTTACCTAATTTCTTTTTATTTGACATTTGTTACCCAAAGAGTCACCAGAGAGGGGAGTAAGTAAAATCTACCGTGTGACTTTACCATCATTATGGTGATGGGCTAGGAGATGGGAGGGCTTGAAAAATGGCAGTGTTTGGAGGGGAACTCATGTGTATTCTTGCAGCCTTTGCATGTTACCAGCAGAGGGAATGTTAGAGTTCAGATGCCCAGAGTGGGCAGCCAAATGAACCACTTCAATGCTAATTATGTGCCATGTCCTATGTCTGTGGTCATTTTGCCCGTGTCAGAAGGATCCACGTCCATGGCTGCCCTTGCATGGCACCTCTTCCCTCATCCCAATCACCAAGGCCTGGCTTCCACTAACATTGCTCATCTTTCCTCAAGACTACCTCACCACTGAGATCTCTCTGGAGCTGCAGCTTCAACTCCAACAACGGCCACTGCGAGCAGTTGAACTGATAAAGAAATTTTGATCGAAGAGAAGTCTTGGACTTGAAATGTTAACTTTACTTCTCTCTCCACAGATGCCAGATCTGGCGAGTTTGTTCAGCATTTCTATTTTTTTCTAATTCCCTGTGAGACGTGGGCATCGCAGGCTGGCCAGCTCTGACTGCCCATCCCTTGTTGCCCCTGAGAAGGAGCTGGTGAGTTGCTTTCTTGAACTGCTGTAGACTGCTTGTTGTTGGTGGGCCCGCAATACCCCGAGGAAAGGAATTCCAGGATTTTGACCCAGCGACAGTGAAGGAATGGCGATGTACTTCCAAGTCAGGATGGTGAGTGGCTTGGAGGAAAACTTTCAGGCAGTGGTGTTTCTATGTATCTGCCTTTCCTTCTAAATGGAAGCTTGTCGTGGGTTTGGAAGGTTCTGTCTAAGTATCTTTGGTGAATTTCTGCAGTGCATCTTGCAGATAGTAGCAACAGTGTATACTGAGTGTTGGTGACGGAGAGAGTGGTGCTTGTGGATGTGATGCCAATCAAGTGGACTTCTTTACCCTGGATAGTGTCAAGCTTCCTCAGCGTTTTTGAAGGTGCATCCATCAGGCAACAGGGGGAATATTCCCTCCTACTCCTGACTTGTGCCTTGTAGGTGGTGGACAGGCCTTGGGAAGTCAGGAGGTGACTTACTCACCACAGCATTCCTAACTTCCGACCTGCTCTTGTAGCCACTTAGCTTATGTAATGAGTCTAGGTCAGTTTCTGGTCAATGGCAACCCTCAGGTTGTTGATAGTGGAGGATTCAATGATGGTAGTGCCACTGAATGTCAAGGGGTCAGTGGTCAGATTGTCTCCTATTGGAGATGGTTACTGTCTGACATTTGTGCAGCAAAATATTATTTACCACTTGTTAGCCCAAGACTGGATATTGTCCAGGTCTTACTGCAATTGAACATGGCTGTTTCAGTGTCTGAGGAGTTGTGAATGGTGCAGAACATTGTGCAATCATTGTGAAGATGGTCGGGCCTTGGATACTACCCTGACGAAATCTTGCACAGATGCCCAAGAACAGAACTGATTGACCTCCCAACAACCAATACTATTTCCCTAAGTGCCAGGTATGACTCCTACCAACAGTGAGTTTGTCCCCTGACTCCCAGTGATTCCAATTTTGCTAGGCTTCTTTAACACCACACTCAGTCAAATGCACCCTTGATGTCAAGGGCTGTCAGTCTCACCTCACCTCTGGAATTTGTCCATGTTTGTACCAAGGCTAAAATGAGGTCAGGAGCTGAGTGGTCCTGGCAGAACCCAAACTGGCATCACTATACAGATTATTGCTGAGCAGGTGCTGCTTGATAGTACTGTTGATGACACCTTCCATCACTTTACTGATAATTTAGAAAAGGCAGATGGGATAAGAATTTTTATTTCTGATCTCCAGCCTCTGCAGTATTTTGCTTTTGGAAAAGATTCAATCAATGTTGCAACTGGAAGTTACAAGTTAAATATGGAAGAAAACCACCAAAAGGAATTAGAACTGACCCACTTGATAACCATCCTGCTTGGATTCGGGCTCAAAATACTGCTGCAATATTAAAATCAGACTCCGACATTAAAATGGCCCAGATCTTAACATCTGTCTTCTCCAGCCACGTCAACATTGCCCACCTAAGCCCTGCCTTGAACATGCCTCCAGTGAAAATTGAGATGACAGTTTCAATTGTTGCTTTGCTGATGAAAACAATAATAATGACAGAAAACATCTCACCTGAAGTAGAATTCAGCAATACTTTGATCACCTCTTCATGACCTTGATGTGCAGCAATAATAGCAGGGTTTCCATCATTCAGTTCCTTTGACAGTTCCATTCCGGTCTCCTGGAGCAGATACTGCAGCATCTCTGTGTCTCCGTGTGCAGCTATGACACCTAACAACTGGTAGAAAGCAATGGCAACAGTTACACCAACCTGCAATCTGCTGTGTTGACTGATCCTGAGTAAAGGTAATGGAGTGGGAGAAGTACTTCCTAAGGACTTTCCACAGGTCAGACTTGTTGAGTGAGGGATGGTAAGGTGAAGGAACCTTGGATGACAAGATATGTCGAACATTTAGTCAAGAGGAAGAAGGAAACTTACCTAAAGTTGCAGAAGCAAGGATCTGACAGGGCTCTAGAGGGCTACAAGCTAGCCAGAAAGGAACTGAAGAATGGACTGAGGAGAGCTAGAAGGGGGTATGAAAAAGCCTTGGCCGGTAGGATTAAGGAAAACCTCAAGGTGTTCTATACTTATGTGAGGAACAAGAAGATGGCCAGAGTGAGGGTAGGGCCGATCAGGGATAGTGGAGGGAACTTGTGCGTGGAGTCGATGGAGGTAGGGGAGGTCCTTAATGAACACTTTGCTTCAAATATTCAACGATGAGAGGGATCTTGACATTTGTGAGGACAGCGTGAAACAGGCTGATATGCTTGAACAGATTGATGTTAGGAAGGAGGATGTGCTAGAAATTTTGAAAAACATGAGGATAGCTAAGTCCTCTGGGCCAGAAGGGATATACCCAAGGTTACTACGGGAAGCGAGGGACGAGATTGCTGCGCCTTTGGCGATGATCTTTGCGTCTGCACTGTCCACTGGAGTAGTACCAGGTGATTGAAGGGTGGCAAATGTCATTCCCTTGTTCAAGAAAGGGAATAGGGATAATCCTGGAAATTACAGACCAGTCAGTCTTACTTCGGTGATGGGCAAATTATTCGAGAGGATTCTGAGAGACAGTATTTATGATTATTTGGAAAAGCATAGTTTGATGAGAAATAGTCAGTATGGCTTTGTGAGGGGTAGGTCATGCCTCAGAAGCCTTATTGAATTCTTTGAAGATGTGACAAAACACACTGATGAAGGTGGAACAGTGGATGTGGTGTATATGGATTTTTGCAAGGCATTTCATAAGGTTCCCCATGGTAGGCTCATTTAGAAAGTAAGGAGGCATAGGATTCAGGGAAATTTGGCTGTCTGGATACAGAATTGGCTGCCCAATTGAAGACAGAGGATGGTAGTAGATGAAAAGTATTCAGCCGACAGCTCGGTGACCAGTGGTGTTCCACAGGGATCTGTTCTGGGACCTCTGCTCTTTGTAATCTTTATAAATGACTTGGAAGAGGAATTGGAAGGGTGGGTTAGTAAGTTTGCCGATGACACGAAGGTTGGTGGAGTTGTGAATAGTGTGGAGGGCTGTTGTAGGTTGCAATGGGACACTAACAGGATACAGAGCTGGGTAAAGAAGTGGCAGATGGAATTCAACCCAGAAAAGTGTGAAGTGATTCATTTTGGAAGGTCAAATTTGAATGCAGAATACAGGGTTAATGGTAGGATTCTTGGCAGTGTGGAGGAACAGAGGGATCTTGGGGGTCTACATCCACAGATTCTTCAAAGTTGCTACCCAAGTTGATAGGGTTGTGAAGAAGACGTATGGTGCGTTGGCTCTCGTTGGTAGGGGAATTGAGTTTAACAGCCGCGAGGTTATGCTGCAGCTCTAGAAAATCCTGGTTAGACCACACTTGGAATATTGTGTTCAGTTCTGGTCGCCTCATTACAGAAAGGACATGGAAGCTTTAGAGAGGGTGCAGAGGAGATTTACCAGGATGCTGTCTGGACTGGAGGGCAGGTCTTATGAGGAAACGTTGAGGGAGCTAGGACTTTTCTCATTAAAGCGAAGGATGAGAGGTGACTTGATAGGGGTTTACAAGATGATGAGAGGCATAGATAGAGTGGATAGCCAGAGACTTTTTCACAGGGTGGAAATGACTATTACGAGGGGGCATAATTTTAAAGTGACTGGCGGAAGGTATAGGGGAGATGTCAGAGGTAGGTTCTTTACACAGAGAGTGGTGGATGCGTGGAATGCTGGCAGTGGTAGTGGAGTCAGATACATTAGGAACATTTAAGTGACTCTTGGGTAGGCACACGGATGATAGTAAAGTGTAGGGTAGGATAATAGGTCGGCACAACATTGTGGGCCGAAGGGCCTGTACTGTGCGATGTTCTATGTCTTACTTCCTCTCATTCTCCTCCACCTCCACAGCCTCTCCTGCTCAGACTTGTTGTCCCTGCTACTTCCCTCCTCCTATATTCCCAAAGACAGTCCTACCAGGTCAGCCCTGCCAGCAGCTGAACCAACAGTAAGGCAAAGAACAACAGGGAAATAGGAGCAAAAGCTCCTTCTTTCTGTGCAAGGTAACTGATTGCCACCTGTGTGGAGATTTTTTTTTGGGGGGGAGGGGGGTGTGGGTGGCTGTCATGCTGGGCCATATATCCCCCCTTTTCAAGGCTGGGTAGAAGAATCATGGTCAGAAGTCACACGACACCAGTTACAGTCCAACAGGTTTATTTGAAATCACAAGCTTTGGGAGCTCTGCCCCTTCATCACATGCCACTGAGCCAATTTTGGATCCAGACTGTCACTTCATCTTGGATCCCATAAGTCCTTACATTCTTCACCAGTCCGCTATGTGGGACCTTATCAAAAGCTTGGATTATGTTCACGTGGACCATATCAAATGCAATACCCTCATCAACACTCCTGGCTACCTCCTCAAAAAATCTGATCAAAAATGTCAAACACAACCATCTCTTAATAAATCCACGCTGACTATCCTTGACTAACCTTCAATTCTCTAAGTTCAAGCTCTGTTTGTCATGTTTGAAATATGGCTATAAATGCTTGTAACAAAACTGTCAGGAATATAGTAGGCGAGGTGAATCCCAAGCTGAGTAACAGTCAGCAAGTTACTATTGAATATGTGCTGCTCGATAGTGCTGTCGACAGCCCCTCCCAATCACTTTGATGATGGTGACGCAGAGTAGACGGATAGGGCAATAACTGGCCAGGTTAGAGTTGTCCTGCTTTTTCTGGGCAGAATATTCCTGGATGATTTTCCATATTAAATAAAAACTGAAACAACTGTGCGGATGCAGTAATTCAGAAACAAAAACAGGAATTGCTGAAAAAGCTCAGCAGGCCTGGCAGCATCTGTGGAGAGAAATCAGAGTTAACGTTTTGTGTCAAGTGACCCTTCCTCAGAACCGAAAGTAAACGTATTGGAATGCCTTGGTTAGGGGGTGCACAAGTCACATTGTCAGAACGTTGTCAGGGCCAATCCAGTGCCTTGCACCGTTTCTTCATATCATGTTGTGTGAATTGAATTGGCTAAAGACAGGTATCTGTGATGCTGGGGACATCTGGAGAAGGTCAAGATGGATCATCCACTCGGCACCTCTGACTGAAGGTACTTGGAAATTCAACTTTGCCTCTTGGACTGATGTTGAGGGGGTAATTATGGTACCTCCTCCTCCAATGAGTTAATTGTCTACCCTATTCACACTGGAAGTGGCAAAACAGCGAGCTGTGATCTATTGAATTACTTAGTTCTATCGATCACTTACTACTTATGGATATTTGCATGCAAGTAATCCTGTGTAATAACTTCACCACGTTGAAACTTCATTTTTTTGTCTGTTTCTGTCCCTGGTATATGCTCGAACTCTTCAGTGAAGCAGGCTTGATCTTCCATAATTGTACAGTTGTGGGATATTCTGGGCCATGAGGTTACAAATTGTGGTTTAATGTGCTTCTGCTGCTGGTCCACAGCTCCTCGAGGATATCCAGTCCCGAATTGATTGATCTGTTCCAAATCAGTCGTATTCAGCACAGTAATAGCATTACACAACACAAGAGGCTATCGTCAACATGAAGGATGGGACTTTTCTCCACAAGGACCGTGTCACTCCTACCAATACTAACCATCCAGGAAGATTATACTGGGAGCAATTTACAGTCATTCAGCATGGAAACAGACCCTTCAGTTAAACACGTACATGCTGACCAGATTTCCCAAACTAAACTAGTCCCATTTGTCCATGTCTGGCCCATATCCCTCTAGACTCTTCCTATTCAAATACCTGTCCAAATGTCTTTTAAATATTGTAACTGTACCTGCATCTACCAATTCCTCTGGCAGTACATTCCAAAAACATACCACATTCCATACGCCTCCTTGCCCTTCAAGTCCCTTTTAAATCTTTCCTTCTCTCACCTTAAATTATGCTCCCTAGTTTTGAACTCCCCTAGCCTAGGGAAAAGACCTTCGCTATTCACTTTATCTATAACCCTCTATAAAGTAACTCCTCAAACTCCCAATGCTCCAGGGAAAGAAGTCACAGCCTATCCAGCCTTTCCTTATACTTAAGCCCTTCGGTCCCGGTAACATCCTTGTAAATCTTTTCAGCACCTTTCAAAGGTCAACCAGAACCGCACACAGTACTCCAAACGTAGCCTCACCAGCATCCTGTATAGCCGCAATATGACATCTCGACTCCTATACTTGATGCTCTCACCAATGAAGGCAAACATGCCAAACACCTTCTTCATCACCCTGTCCACCTGCAACTCCACTTTCAAGGAAAGCATGCATCTGAACCCCTAGGTCTCTGTTTGACAACACTCTCCAGGGTCCTACCATTAATTGTGCAAGTCCTGCCCTTCTTTGTGCTGTTTCTGACAGCAAAATCAGTAGGCACCATTTCAGCTTTTGCGTCAGAAGCCAGCACTCATGTGATTCATCTGCAAATTTGAAGAGCCAGTGACAGGCAAGTAAAACACAAGGGGGCAGGTCTGCATTCAAGGACAGTACCGCCAGGTGACAGTTCAGCAGGCCGAGACGGGCTATAAAGGAGCTGCTTAGAAAAGCAAAGCCTCTGCATCAAGCCAGTATTTCTACAACAACCTGTGTTCTGCACTTGGTCAATTTGTTTTTGCAACACTTCATAACCATAACCTTCATAACCGTCCTGGGTGGCACTGTGGCTCAGTGGTTAGCACTGCTGCCTCACAGCGCCAGGGACCCGGGATCAATTCCACCCTTGGGTGACTGTGTGGAGTTTGC